CCCCCCCCCCTTTCCTCCTATCTTCTCTATCTATCTATCGGTGACCTTCTCTCCCGACAGCTTCAGAGTTATCTGCTGACTGCTGCGGGGAGAGCATTCAAAGTGATCCCGGGGCTTCTGCCAGCTCTGCAGGCCCAGCTGCCTGCCTGCTGTACAACTTTTTATTGTCCCTTTCCTCCTAATGGCCAGCTCTTGGTGGTGGTGGTGGTGGGGTTGTTCATAGCTGTAAGCGGGGTGTGTGTGTGTATGTGGAAAGGCTTCAGGAATTTGAAAAAGTTTAGATTAGGGAACAAGGAAACATTAGGGCGGGGAGAGTGGAAAGTTTTATCAAGGGCTTTAGTGGGGAGAACACACACATACACACACATCCATGTATGGAACAAAGGTCTTGTCTGTATTTTAGAGGCCTAAACATTTAGGCCTGTGTCGCATTTTATACAGAGCAAAGAAAGGAGAGCTTGGCTTTAGTCTTAACATTTCCAATATCTGGCACTCATTTCGGAACTGTTTTTCTAGGATTCCATTAGTTCAGTACCACGACCATGTTGTTAATGCAGCCATGTTGATAATAATTCTGCTTCGGTTTTTCTCATTGTAACCTGTCACTTTTTCATGTTCTTTATGCTTTTCATCAACAGGGTTATTGTTTTCATATATATTTAAAACTGAGTTTCATTTTATTTTGACAAAATTGATTTCTTCACCTATGTTTTCAGGTAGATAGTGAGCTTGTCTTGTGACAGTAAGGTCTGTCAAAATTTTTAGTTAGAGGTTAAAAGGAGTTACTGAGTTAGATCCTTTCTAATTAAAGAAGCTTCATAAAATAATCCATAATGAGGTATTCTCTTCAAAATAATGTTTAATAAAATTCCTTTTCCTGCTAGTATTTATGTTTAGTGGACATAGATGCTATCAGGATTTTTGCCTTTGGAAATGGGGACTGGGAAGGAAACTTCCCTTATTGTCTGGCAAAATTGCATTTCAAATTTAAACATTATAGGCAATTCATGAAGATAGGCAAATCTTCATGAATTGCCTATAATGCATACATCTGAGGGAACTCAACCTATATATTCAGTACTAACTTTTAAAAATATTTAAATGAGTTGCAGTGCACTACTTTTGGACTTGTCTTGTATACTGTATGCCTTCAGTCTACCAGATTAATGTTCAGTTAACTTAACACTACTTTAACAAAAAGAGATGCAGGTGAGTGATCTCTGTGCTCAGCAATTCTACATTAAAGCTGCAGTTCTGAGCATTGGGAATATGCTGCATTAGATAGTAGTAGTAGGTAAATCTGTTTTAAGATTGTGCCATTATCTTGTGCTGTTTCTTAAACACAGCTTTTAAAATCTTTGTCTTGCTTTTCTAAAATGTAAACAACTTGATGCCTTACAAGCTAAGACGATAAAGGGAGTGCATGTGTAAGGATTGTCTACAGCACAGTCATGGAATACAAGTTTGATATACACCAACAGGTGTTGTGCTACTATACCTTCTGAAACCTTCTGTGCCATTTTCTTCAGTCTCTGATTTACCTCTTCTGTATGTATTGAGCAAAAAAACTGCAGCTACCCAGAGGCCTGTATACGTTAACACAACATCTTAGTTGGTTGTACTAAGGTCCGCATCCTCTAATTATATACAATGTAAATGAAGTCAGAGGATGGATAGGACTATGGAAGTGCCATACAAGAGTGTGGTGAGAAAGAGAATGTCAGATAAAGCTGGTAGATTCAGGATATTTTGAAAACTGGAAAGTGAAACAAAGCAGTGCTGTTAATCTGCAATAAACTATTTTTATACTCCTGGATTTAACAATTGTTAATCTGACAGACTTTTGACCTCTCAGACTGACTTGAGTCCCTCCTTACCTTTTGATAGTGAGGCAATGTCCAGGAAGAGGAAAACCTATTCAACTCAGAAAGAATATTTTCCTACCATGAGCTTTGGGTGGTAGGAGGCATGGCTGACAAGGGACTAAATATGGTATGGAACAAATAGGTTCTAAAATGGTTGAAATAGCACATATATACATAGAATTTCTCCTTAGTGCTTAAAATAAAAGGATACTCTGAAATGGATGGCTCCTACTAAGAATATCAAAGATCAAAGACATGAATGAAAAAGTCATTTTCATAAACAATCTTGCTGTTTCTTCAACTGTTTGAGTCAGCTTTATGTTAAGAGTATATACTTAGCAAATGTTAATATACCTGACCTTAAGAAACTATTAAGTATACTCGTACAACTCTAGTATTGTTGGGAGGTTGAAGCTAAGTAGGCTATTGTAGAGAGGTCAATACTTGAGTTCTTAGAATAAGTGTGTTTTTACATTACAAACTGCTTCTGTGATCATTACCTCTTCTTAGGGAACCATGACATGGTAACTAGGCATCTTAGTCAAGACCTTTTTCATTCTCTTGCTAAACTGTGGGCCTTTACAGACTGCCAGAAATAATGCAGCTTGAGGCCACTTTAACTGTTCTGGCTCAGTGCTAGAGAATCATGGAAACTGTATTTTTTTCTGGGACATTGAGCCTTCGCTGTCAGAGAGCTCTGGTGCCACAATAAACTACACTTCCCATGATTCCTTAGCACTGAGCCAGGACAAGTGGCTTGAAGCTGCACTGTTTCTGGCAGTCTGTAAAGGCCCTATGTTGCCCAAGAGTCTTTGAAGAAAACCATAAGTTATTCCAAGTCTGTGCTAACCTGGTGCCCTCTGGATGTGCTGGACTTTCATTCCCATCATCCTCCAGCTGGCATGATTAGTGCCAGAGGATTCTAGGAGTTGACATTC